AAAAGGAAAATCTACCCTTTGTTCCTCCGTCCTCCCTTTCATGAGCCCCTTGCCAGATTGCAACAAGGGGCTCAACGGACACACATGCACACAGACCTGCACAAGCACACACGGCATACGGCATGCGTCTTGTGCGTGCGTGTGCGTGTGTGCGCACGCTCACGGCTGGCTGGTGCCTCAGCGTTCGGCAGGCAGCTTGACCTGCCCATCACAAGGGATTACATCTACATAACTCCAACAAAACACTGTCAGCACCCTGCCCCTCCCCTCCTCTGCCCTTCCTTCCACTTCTTCCGTCATCTCTTCTCCCCCCTCTGTCTCCTCATCACTTTAACCTTTCAATCCTTCCCCGCCGCCTCTCTTTCTTCTCCTCCGTCTACGACACTTCTGTCTAGTCTGATGTAATGCATTTCCAGTGTGCCAGCAATTCTCCCAGCTGCGTTGCATCAAATATCACTTAAAGTCCCCTCAAAGCGATCACACACGGTGACCCCCAAATATTTATCGCAAGTGTTATCTTGGCATATCCGAGAGGAAGGTTTTCCCTGCTCAGAGAGCTGCGTGAGCTATAAGGGATGGCTGCTATACGCTGATTTCCAGATTAGGCAACAGGCAGTAGTGCTGGTGTGAGATTGTCTCGGTGATAGAGAGAACATGGCGCCGTCATGCACAAACACAGCGAGCTGTTATGAAATGGACCTACGACTTCTGGTTGGCTCTCCCACCGCATGACCCACAAACACACACACACACACACCTCATCCAACGAGAAACACGCTGCAGACGCACTGGAATGTGACTCTCTTCAATGGGATGCAGACAAAGATCCAACCGTTGAACTGACTGAATTAATGAGATGATTAGTTAACTGTATTTTTCTTAATAGGGATGATGCTTTGACATAACTTGCATTGAAATGCAGAGTAGATAAAGAAGATAGTTCATCATTGTAATTAGCTGGATCTACAGAACAAGTTATTTTAATATCCAACAGTACATCTGGAAAGTGGTGCAGGAGATCTGAAATCCCCCAAACTGTAAATTAGGAGTTGGACTTGAGGAGGAAGATACTTACAGCCAGACACATCTGTTCTCCAGACCTCTGCCGCCCCCTAGTGGACTCACAATAGAGATATGTGTCTTATACTAAGTACAGTATACACTGTGTATTCATTTTGATAGAAAATGCCAAAGTAGTGCACTAACAGGAGAGGCAATTTGTGCACTGAAAAAACTACAACTTATTGAAACTACAACTTTGAAAGAACGCATTGAAAATTTCAAATTTGATAAATAGTAGCCAGTAAATATAGGTTTCCATAGATTTACTTCTTGATTTTGTTTTTGTCTTGTGTTGTCACCTTCCTCCACATTGGTTTACTCCCAGCAGCTGTAAACAACCCACTGTGGTATAATGCATTGTGGGACATCAGTGTAAAATCCTTTCGTCCTTGCTTTAGTCATTCTTTACACACAAGACATGGTCAGGCTTCGTAGAGTCAGGATGGGACACGGTGCTTGTATCAACTGAACACAGTCAGGAGTTGCAGCCATGAAACAAGTCTTATGGCTGCACCCCCATACTGTAGTAATGACTATTCTGCGATTGATTTTCTTCTCGACTTAACAGCGCAGTGGATGTTTTCCTTTTCCAAACTGGACCCTGTTGTCTCTCGGCAGCATAGCACGTGCTCATCCCCAGGAGTGAAGGCCTGCACGGGCCACAGCAAAAACAGCCCACTGCTCCCGAGCCTCCCGTCCTCCTCCCGTCTCCACCCGTAGGCCCAGTGTGTCCGGTCGGACTACACAGAGAGGAAACACACGTACTCCGCTCGACTAGAAACAAAAACACGCATCTCCACGAGAGACCCCGAAACCCGGCAGGATAGTCTCTCAGCGCACACAGGAAAGAGGCCGGGGAAGTACGTCTGTACGTCCACACAGCCAAGCACATGTTCGTGGATACACGGGCACAAACACAGCTTCAGATAAAAACACGCATGCATGCGCATATATACACAAGCAGCAATACAGGAAATGGGTCAGCTGTAGCACAGGTATCCTTTACATCCTCCACTGGCTCCCACTGTCCGCCGATGAAAGGGAATACCTCTGGTCTCTGCAGCCCTGGGCCCGGCTTATAAGAGGCCATTTCCTTCATAATCATCCCGGCCTTCCCCTGCTCTAATCTCCCAGAGGACAGTGGCAATTAGCCCCGGGGAGGGCCTTAGTGTAGTAGGGGCATCTGGGGCATCTCTATTACCTCATGGCCTGCCATTGAAACACATAAAACACACACACACACACACACACACACATATATAGAGGCATAGCTTGGATTTCTGGATCCCCACGAGTCCTCTCATGTCTGCATATAATAGACCTGGCTCTTTTATCCTCCCTAATATGCGTACTGTTTGGTAACATATTTGTTCTTTAGGCCTCTTCTTTCTTCATCTCTCGCCACCTTATTGTGTAGTTGCTATTAATAGACATCCCAGTCACTGATAGGATCTCGCTGCAGTGTCTACAGTAGTTGCCATTTACACACAGCGTCACCAGAGGGTCTGGATGTGGTTTAAGCTTTGACAACAACAGTTGGGGAAGAGATCTTTCAGCCGTGTCTTTACAGCTTGTTGACATAGCAGTGAGGATTACCTATTATACGTGGCATTAATAGCATCAGATAAACTTCCTGCTCCCAGGTTGGAAACCCCCCCCCCCCCTCTGCAATAGGTCTGTCAATCTATAATGAAGTCTGCACACGCCAGTGCCTACGCTAGTCTTGACCTTAAAGCGAATCCTTTGCCTCATTCTCGCCCACATAACCCCGACTGTACTGTGAGGGTCAGTGGTGTAGAGTCACGTAGAAGCCTGTGCAGGAGCTGCAGTAAATGACGGAAGCATCCCCCACGCTCCCGACACAATGCACTCATTGATTCCTCTTTGCTTCTGTAAATAACAGCCCCGACCACAACCTGCACGCGTGCAAGCCACAAACATAGCTGCTTTTAAGAGATAGCAGGAGCTTTTCAAAAGATTATCCTGTCGGTGAGTCATTACGAGGGCTCGATAAGAGTTTGTCATCGTGTGGTAATGTTCCATAGATCCTGTTGCTCCCCTATGCTGCCCCCAACTCGCCCCTCCAACCCGCTTTACTCTCTCTCTCATGCCTGTCTCGACTGGGTGCAGTGTGTTGTTGTGGCAAGTTAAGGCCATGGTCTGCAGAACACTGTGACATTCATCTAAATGGGATCAGATAAAGCTGAATGTCTTCAACATAAACATCACTTGGAGCCCCCAGCCGGGGCCCCTGCGGCACTGCCTCGGCCAACCACAGGCTGCAAACATAGGGGGGAGCAGGGAGCTCAACCAACGGCAGAGGCTAAAAGGAGGGAGGGGAATCATTTCTAACCATACCGAGGAGTGGCTGGAGGCGGATATCAGCCGAGATCAGGCCTGTGGGTTCCTTCCACGCTAGGCGACACCCCCAAGATGTGGGCGAGGGGAGGTGATGTGGGGGTGAGAGGGATAGTGTGAGATTAACAGATATTAAACACGTGTAGAACCGGTTCTCTGTGCAGTGGACTGGGAGGAAGAAACTGTTTATATCATTGTGGAGAAAGGTGAGAAAAGTGAGCCACATAGAGACATGGAGAAGAATGGCTGTAAGGATGAGGGGAAATAGGACGCATGGAAATGTAATACTATCAACGCAGGTCAAAAGGACAAGCGTGAAACAGCAATCAACATACCTAGACAAATAATTATCCTCATAAATGCAGCAGCAGCCCAACCCAAAAATAATTCCACCACCTGGGGTGTGACCTGCCTAAAGAATGCTCCGAAATGTCTGGGGAGGGTGCTGAGAAAACAATGGAAGGTGGGATAATTACAGAGAAAATGAGCTATGAACTCAGCGGTAACCCTCAGCTAAGATAAAAAAAATAAAAAAAAGTGGAAATCACACAGACAGACAAGCTGGGGTTTCAGTCAGTAGTGCGAGCAGGCGTGGACCTGCCCATTCTGGATAAAGCCGTCTGTCAGCACCAGAGGAGAACGTGCTCATGGGAACTGGATGACCTGCTGCACTTCTCCGTCTTTACCCCACAGACTATGCAGTGTTGGGCTCTGCCCCGGCTTGCCGCACATGAAGGCCCGGTTCGATAGCTGCTTAATACAGATGATTGAGAATGCGGAGAGACTGAGAGGGGAAAGCCAAGCAGCAGATGGAAACAAGGCTTCCAAGAAATCAGTGGAGGTGGGCTGCAGCAAGAACATGAGCTAGCGTGGTGTTCAGACAGCAAGAAAAGAGGGATGCAGTGCATATAAGGTGGAGTAAGGGAGCGACGAGTGAGGATGGCTGGATGGGAGTTGTTATCGGAGCCATTTGGCTAGCTGGGGGGTAGCCTAAAGTATAAGCAGTGGGACAGAATAGAAATCCTGTAGTGAGGCGCTGCATACTGATGACCTTGCTGTAACGGCTCTCCGGCAGTTATTCATTAAGCCATTAAAGGGACACAACCAAGTCATTTGTGTGGCCTTCTGTTTCAGACTGCCTTTCTTCTCGTGGTGCTCTGCTTTTCTGCGAGAGAGAGAGAGAGAGAGAGAGAGAGAGAGAGAGAGAGGCCACAGAATACACATCAATGAATAACTGAGGCCATGAAAAGAGGCTAGACCTGGGCACCGAGCTGAAGCCAGCTGTTGGCCCTCCTTCTGAGCAGAACAGAAGTCATTAATGGTGGAAGCGACTCATGCGGGGAACTAATTCACTCTGAAGGCAGCTTGATAAATGAACATTCAAATTCAATCTACCTGGGTGGAAATTAAAAGGAGGGGAATTGCAAAGAGCACTTGCTTTAACAGGTCTTTTCCCTCACAAAGTGCCCTCCATCACACACCCGAGAGCGCCACGGCCACTTTGTCTCAGACTGAGGGGTGAGAGCGCCCTCTTGTGTCAACATCCTCAGACAGGAAACAGCACACTGACAAATGAATAATAAAGTGAATAATATTGATTTTTATTGCCATCCATATATACATACATCTCTTTTTTTTTTTTCCTCTCTCATGGAATATTTATAGAGTTTCAAGCACTGGTATCACTGTACAAACAATGAACACATACACTACAGTAGAAAGAAGAGCAGCGGGTGTGAATCACACCCCAGAACAGCACATGTTGCTATCTCGACACAGCACGAGGTGATCGCAGGAAGATACAAAGCATCAGGTGGACTACAGCGGATCATCTGATGGGTTGATTGATTCTAACCGCTGGCTCGCTGTGACATGCTACAGTGTGTTCGTGGATGTGAAATGGATCTATAGGAACAACATGTAGTCCCCCCCTAAAATAGGCCAGGGTTGCCATAGTGATACCGCCTGGGGGTGAAGTGTAACACAAGGGAAACAGCACTGATGTGTTTATGAAACACAATACCACACGGAAAGAGGTCTGAGTTCAGGACAACCAAACACGTTACGAGGCAATCAAACACCCAATCACTAAAGTCTTTGCATCGTCACACAGATTGGTTTATGATGATCAGTAGATATTTACCATGAAAATCACGAGTCGAAAGCAGAGCGGAGGAGGTATGGCAGCAAGTCTCAACTATTACTCAAACTGCGTGCTTGTCAGGCTTTTGTGATGAGCCACAGCGGGAGCAGCACAGATTATTGTTGGTGTGTAAATGATCCATCGGAGGTCGGATTAAAACGAGTTACAACACACTTTGACAGCTCTTCTTGTAATACGCCCGCCAGAGAACAAGCTCATTATACAAACATCAAAGAACACAGATAGCAAAGTAACCCTTCGAGTCTTCATAAAAGTAAGAAATGGAAAAATTCCATTTGGATTAATGGAATGGATTAACCGGCATCTATTCAACTGAACTGAACCCGACACAAACTAATTAAATGGCATCACTCAGGTGGCAGCGGTCTGATACCTCTCCCCTCTGTGTTCAGGGAGATAATGTACTAATAAGTGACTGATAAGCACGTGGCGGCCTGGCTAAATAACTTTACTGCCATCCAACAGCTACAGCTGCAGGGGCGGGCTTTGGTCACTCAATTAGGCAGCACCACCAGCTGTGGCCATAATGCCCAGTCTGTTAGGTGTCTGTCTCAACAATATTGTGTCTCTATTGCAAGTTATCCCTCAACTAATGTGGTGTTTTTGGTTGAATCAGCAGTGCTCAAGACTCATTTTGGAATTCGGTCATTAAGTATGCATGGAGTAGAGGTGGGGGGGGGCCTTGTTTACGGGCAATGCGTTTTCAAAATGATTATTTTTGGGATGAATGAATTATGTCATCTCAGTAGCAAAAAAGGCAAATTAAACCTGTAGAGCTACAACAGTACTTTGAAGATATTCATACAGGCACACAAAATAAAGCTTAACAAGCAACAATTTAAAAAAATCGAATGAAGCAACAAAAACACTGACCTGATGTCAGCGATGTGTATTACTTCACTTGTTTGGGGAATCAGGACAGAGGTGTGTTTATTTTGGGGCTGTTACATGCACACACACATGAGCACAAACACACACACTGGTCATACCAAACATTTAGAAATGTCGTTATGGTCACAGACACAGGCAGACTCCAGTGACGGACTGACAGCTTCACACGGAGGAACCTCCTCATATCTCGTCTTGATGTGGGGATGATCATCGCGACCCCCTCCGGATGCCCGACGCCAAAGTGAGTTGACAACGGCCAGGCTTGTTGAAGTTAGAATGAGTGGCCGACCCTGGACTTGCACCAAAGAGTATGTCATCCGAGGTCACTCGGCGCTCTCCTGGACCAGCTCGGCGTCCTGTTCGCCAAGAGCGGCTTCTGACGCGCTTCCCTCCCCCTGGAACAGCTCCTCCATCAGCTGCTCCCCAGCGCTGCCGGCCCGTGACGCCAACAGAGCGGCGCCCTCCCGCAGGCCCAGCGAGCGCAGCAGCCGGGCGTACTCCAAAAACGATGCCTTGATAAGTTTATGTGCAAACGCAGGTCAAGGAGAGCTGATAACATGTCGTGGCCATGGGATATAAAAAAACACTGTCATCACTCAAAAATATTCTTTTGATTAACGTCACACATTTCAACTTTCAAGCGTGGCAGAGTGACTTGAAACTGCCACTCATTAGATTATCCTTAAAATGAAAAGGCGCAACTTAATCACTTTAAAAGGAAACAAGTGTTGATCCAATGAAGCTGATTAGAAACAGCTGATTAACTGACATAACGAATGCAGGCGCTTCCATACCGGAGAAAATGGATTACTGAACGATTACTGAACAGTTTGGTGAGTAAAAGAATAATGAGAATTAGATCTGGTGATGTTTGCAGTCACCAGATCTTAAGACACTCTGGAGTCAGTAGGTTGGATCTACGTCGCTCTGAAACAGCTTAGACATGAGCACGTCTTTATCACCTTCATGAAGGCAGGATTTATTGCAGGACCGTAGCACTGATTGCATTAGTTGAATGCATTAAAGCCTCCTATCCACATTGCACCGCACTGCACCTCGTTTTGGCTACTGCTGATGGTCACCGAAATTGCAGAGATTAGTTGGACAGACGCGCTAACGCTTGTGCCTGGGGATTTGCATCAGAGTTTATGTTGGTTTTACAAAAAAATCTGTCACTCATCTGTATTTCTTAATAAAACAGATATTAATTTGAATTCTCATTAACTCTGAAAATCTGATTTTTTTTACTTCCTGAAAGAGGCAAGAGTTGCTCAGTGACATCCCCTGGCCTCTGATTAGCTGGCATTAAAAATGATTTTCTTTTTACATACATTTCATAGTTAAGTGTCAGCATCTGCCTTGCAAGGGTCAGGGCTGATTTGAAACAGAGGATGACGTGTTTGTTTGTGGCTAACTCAAAGTCTAGGTTCTAAAGGGCCTCTCATGAGTCTGCAGCCAATCAAAGTTTGACAGGATGCGCTCCGCGTAGCTCTTTAAATTGTCCTTGAATGAGAAAAAGCTCTCTGCTTTTCGAGGGCACGTCTGTAGTCGAGACGGACAGAGGTAGCAGGGGAGCCAACTCTGGTTGTAAGTGGCCCTCAGAGTGCAGTAATGGGTTTTCAAAAAAGGATATTGGACGAGTCGTTGGCCTCCATCACGCCGTGCTGCAGACAGGCTTCGATGAAGAGGGCGGCGCGATCAAAGTGCCTCGTGCTGCTCAGAGGACGGAAGGAGGAAGAGAAAAACAGAGGCAGAAGGAGGTGAGAGCTACCGTCAGGAACACATGTGATCCTAACACATACGTCAACCCTGTTTGTCCTGGTGGCACTCTAATTCTCTGAGCTTTTTACAGCCTGAGGGATTCAAGAACACGAGCTGTCAAGGAGGAGGACAAGTAGACCAACAGGGAATCGATGCGGAGGTTAACGATACGGGGTCAGACCATACCATGCACTCAACTGGTTATGAAGGGGAATGAAAGTCAAGCGGGCAAAAGGAGAGGAAGGTCAGTCAGAAAAAAGCAGTCCCAGGGAATACATTTTTAGTTATAAGGGGAATGTTAATTATGAGAATAAATTGACAGACTGGATATTTGCAAGTGGCAGTAAATTACAGGGTTTGCGTTTCTCATTTTAAAATGCAATACTTTTAAAAACTTCAGCCCGAGACAATACCAAAGTCTCGCATATTGTTCTAATGCTTGCACACAGTAATGCTCATGACATCATCGATCTTACTTGTGGAGCATCTCTGCCACTTTGTAAAAGCAGCCCAGGGAAAGCAGCACCAGGATGGCTTTGGACTTCTGGTTGACCTGCGAGGAGCACAGGTGCTCTGCCCAGCGCTTCAGCACATCGGAGCTCTCCGCTGGGCTCAGACGCACCTGGAAACACACACAAGATGCACGCGACATGGTAGCGTTGGGCAGCTCTAAATGTCCTTAACTCGACTGCGTTTCCCAGATAATAACAATAAAAAGAACATTTCAAGTTTGCAAGGAAGCCAAAAAAAATAACAAGAAAGTAAAAAACAAACAATAGTGTTTAACTGCATTTTTATAATTTTCTTACAAGTACCAATAAAAAAATAGAAATATTCATACACATACACAGCATGTACATACCTTACACCAACCCAACACACTATCTAAACATTACACAGTATCTGATGTTGTCTGTTGTCATGCCGAGTTACCTTAGCCAGCCAGGCGGCGCGGTTCCACTCCCCGTAAGTCTGCAAGTAGCGGCAAGCATCCGCTGCCTTGTCAATCAAACACAGCAGCTGTACTCCCTCTGACACACAGAGGAAAAAGGGGAGAATTTGTACATGGATGTGAGATGGAGAAACGAGGGCCCGTCCCTACGAAAGGTGGAAAACTCTGGCCAGACACCAGTGGAATGATTTCTTTACACACCGCCTTACTCGTTGAATTTTAATCAACAGTTTAGCTGCACTGTTTTGTTTTTTTTACAGGTGATTAATAGCTGCAACCTTTTCCAACCTTTATAAAACATAACATATTTAAAAAGGTGTCCAGCCTTAAAGGCCGAAAGAATAGATGAATTATTTAAAAGGTGCAGATTAAGGGCCTTTCAAGGCTGCAGACGTCCACATGATGACCTCTGCTGGAGCGGAGAAGGTTTGCCGACTGTTGCCAGACATGCAGGAACACTACCTGCCAGCTTGCCGTTGGCGATCATGTTGGTGGCCACGAGCTTGATGGTGGACTGCGAGGGGCCTGAGGAGGTGATGGTGGTCACGAGGCAGGCCTTCAGCGAATCGCAGTAGTAGCTGGTGTTGTCTGCGCTCGTCTCCAACAGTAACTGCACTGCCCGGTCCGTCTGAGAGCGACAACAAAGAGATGGCAGTGGCTGAGAAACAAGGCATCGGCAGCTCAGCCAGGTAACCACCGTGTGAGCCAAACAAGGTGGAGCAACGAGGGGAAATTATAGTTTATTATCGCGCTTTTCATCTGGTGTGGATGAAGGCTCGAGCTCCCAGCCGGGGTCGGCTGCCTTGACGGAGGACTGCGCCTCCAGCACACAGCCGGCTGATTGCAGCCTGTGATTAGAGGGAGAGTGGTGACATTGAGAGGGGAGAGAGGTGAGTCCAATCCCCCACAGGCTGAGAAGCAAGGGAGGACAGGGGCAGCACTTATCGTCCATCTAGCTTCATTAGGCTCCACAGCACCGGTGTGACCTATTTATCATTATGGCAGTGTGCATGTATGCCCAGCTATGGAGTGTGAGTGTGTAGGTGTAGGTGTAGGCGTGTGTTTGGGAGAGATGCATAGTGTATACTCTGAAACCTGTATGTAAGAAAGAGGGAGAAAGATGGCAAAATATGCGTCACATTTATCTTTTGACTTATCAAAAGGATGTGACAACTAAAAACAAAAGTTTTTTTTGGATTTTCTTACAGGATGCTAACCACTGTGATGCCAAGCACAGAAGACATGGGTGATGAAGTCCCAGGTCATACGGTTCGTTCGAAAACTGGAACATTCGAGCAGGAGCTCCCAAGTGATATGAATGCAACACGTAGACATCGTTGTGTGAGCAGTGTGGTAGAGTGCAATAACTTACCTGACCCAGCAGGAGGAGCTGGTCGGCACATTTCTTAGTGTGTTCATAACTGGAGCGCTTCATCTCCTGCAGGTGAACCCGATCCAACTGGAACTTCTGTTGAGCAGCAAACGTGGAGCCACAGGTTACTTTTTATGTTGTTGTTTTTAAAGTTGCATACTGCTTTTGTACATCCACGGTCAAAAAAAGATATTGAGGACAATTATAGAAATACAGAGTGCAGAGATGGAGAGTGTAATAATAAAGGCTCTAAACTATTCAGGAGTTTTCACAGTGTTTCTGGTGCCACAGCTTCCCATACTTATTATTGGTGCAGTTTTCCTCATTATTTCATTGAATGGTCCCTGATGGGAGCTCAGATTTTGTTTTTCAGTGAGCAAATGATAGGCATGAAACATGAAAGTAGCAAAAACATATTTCAGAGTGTGAGTATCCGTTTTTAGAGGAGGACTAGAGGGGGAGAATAGTACAATACGGGGAGAGATAACAGCATAGTAGGAAATTAATTACATCAGCTCTATGTGTGTGTGTGTGTGTGTGTGTGTGTGTACTCCTGTCTCTATATCCAATACAGAAGTTTCACTTTTTTTCACTTTATTATGATGAATTCGTCTGAGTCACAGCCGTGGGCATAAATCCCTGCAAAGATCCCAAACGAGTTCAGTATCTGTATGCTCTGTATCAGAGTCTTGGGTTTTTGTAATTGCAGTCAGGCTGCTACCACCGATGCTGTTTTATAACAACAGGATCCAAATGTAGCGGCAGACTGTCCTAACGTTGTGATCACTGCGTGGCCCCTCAGTAACAGGGAGAAGAAGTTTCACAAAAACAGAATCTGTTGAAAAAGAACCTGAAAAATACCCAAAGAACAAAAAAGAGACTTTTCAATAGGACAATTAGAATTTGAAATTGTTTCACATTCATGCTACTTTAAGCTTCAATGCATGCGAAATGCTTTTTCTTAACAGGCTACTCTGCTTGAATCAGAAAAGGTACACGTTCTTCCCTCTCCTCTGCTTTCCTGGGAATATTGATGTAGCCGTGTGGGATAAAACAAAAAAGCAAGAAGTACCAACGCATGCCTGTCTTCTTGCACAGTCTGCTAATTGTTAATTACCATCCACAGTTTTCCTAACTATTCCTCTAAAGTAAAGTCCATAGAAGTATTTTCTGCAGCCTGGACAATGTGTGGGTACATCACACATGCAACTACTGAACAACAAAAAAAAACCTTTAACAAAAAAAACCTTCACCTTCATTACGGTGACATAAAGGTGGATGTCGTGTTGACCAGTGATGCGGGTAGATACAGAAGAGAGGAGGACCAATTAATGGGCATCTTCTGAAGAAACCTTTCAAACGCTCTTCAGAACAAACTGGGTTGATAATTAAATTTGGAGAAAAGGAAACAGGAGATTCAAGCTATTGTTTATAAGAGCCATCAGCGAGACTAATTGATCCGCGCAATGACACGGCGCAAACAAGAGGGTTTTTTTGTTTGTTTTTTTTAATTGAGCGCGTCTCGGCATGGGCTAAAATAATTGGAGGGAAATGTTGGGGGAATTAAATGTAGTGAGGGCGAAGTGAAAGGTAGGTTTGACCTCAAAGGCTTAAAGATGTGAGACGCTTCCCTTAAAGACCGGGGATTAGTGAGACAACAGAGGAGATACACAATGTCATTGATAATGGAATGCACCGTGTGACCGGGGCGATGGTGTTGACACTGCGGATAGCATGGGACAGTCTGCTGGGGGGTTTGTTTGTGCGTGGTCTGACTTGAGAATAGTAACTGTACTCTGGAGGACTCCTATGGGACTTCTGTAATGCTGAATGCTAGGATCACGTATTTGGTTTACCGTAGACAGAACTGGCAACAAACAAAGACTAAAACTTCTTCTCTTGTGTCACTGACCTGAAAGTAAGCGCTCTCACACAGGACGTCATGGCAGATGTCCAGGTGGCAGCGAGGTGACGGCTGGGTTCCTTCACTTTGGGCCTGGCCCTCTGCAGTGGACACACTCAGCTGACGAGCCTTGGCAAACGACTGGAGGTAGTGGGACGCCACTGTCCAGAAGTGAAGATCAGACTCATCTCCGAACAGCCTGCGGTTTACCAACAACAACAACAACAACAACAACAACAACGCATCAGCTGAGCCCAGAGTGAATAATGTTTTCTCTCTGGAGAAGTTCGTCAAGTTCTGCAGTCTGAACCAACATGGCGGTTTCTTCTCGTAGTTTGCTTACTAATGATCATAGTTCCTGTATCTTCCAGCCCACGCCTCGCTCTTTCAGCTCACCTCCACCCCCTCTCTCCACATCCTTCTGCCTTTTCTTCCGTCGTTTACTTCCCTCAGCATCCTTTTAACATATCTGCACAGGCACACAGCTGTTGCTAGGTTACCTTGCTGCATTGACAATGGCATGGAAACTTGGACGGCCGGCAGATAAGCATGAGCATGAAAGCAGCTCTCATGTCATGCTGGGGGTTTTCTTTTGGCGAGGTACAGAATCACGGCTGCACAGATACAGTGAAAATAAATGCTGCTGTTCAGGTAGATCATTTCACGGTTTTCAAAACAGAATCATTCAACTTTCCTTATCATGACATCATCTTGTTTATCTTCCCTATTCCAAATGAATTGATATTCCACAAATAACAGCTGTGAAAACTTAAATGATGACAGTAAAGAACATCATTATGTGCAGATTTGTGTAGAGAAATCTCTCCTAATCCATCGAATTATGTCTTGATCATATCCAGATCAACCAGTAGCAGCTTGTTTGCAAACACAGTACGGCATTAGGTCATCGTAACAGGCGGGAGGCAGTAGCAGATGCAAACATATAGAGTATGTAAGAAGTTTAACATGTATTTATGCGTTTACAGTTACAATATTTTACAGCTTTAAAAAAGGTGTTTGTATCCTGGAAGAGTCGGCGTCATCCCACTTCCTGGTTAGCAGTTTGTTTGCTAATATAAACTACACGTTACTTAGAACTCGAGTCCCTCAGAACTTCTCGAGTCTTTGACAAAGGTGCACTGTCTGAATATGAATGAAGTTATCATGCTGGGGCACCAGTAAACCCTCACGGAGACGCTACTATCTGTGCAGACATCACACTGTGGTAGATCCATGCCGAGTGTTAGCTCACCGTGAGACCAGGAGGCAGCGCTGCAGCAGGCTGAGCTCCGGGTCCTGTAGCACACTCTTCATGTCACTATGGGGGGGGGGGGGCAATCAGAGACAGACAATCAGAACACAGCCAGAGCAAATTACACTTCTCAAACACATCAGGCCCAGTGAGTCGGTTACGGTGTATTCCTCTTATCTGTAAACCCACAGACGACATGCCCTCTGGGCTGCCGTCGAGACACAAAGGAGCATGACGGCAAGCCCAAACTACATAAACTGACACAGACATACAGCACCAACATCTGATTGTTGCATTTTGCATCATGCCATTCATATAAATATTGTATTTCGAGCTACAGTGTGTAACCATCACCATTAGAAAGTGTGATAACTCACTTAGACAGGGAGTTGAGCTGCTCCTGGATCAGCCCTTTTATCTCGCCTTTCTCATTGTAGTCTCTGAAACAGAGCGATCAAACTCAGTCAAATGGCTCCTCGCGCGTCTCTCTAAAATAAAACCTGAGCTGATGTTAAATGGGAAGCCGAGAAGCTGCTCGTTAAAAAGGAGTAGCTCTGTGGTGTCACGCAATAACAGATAATTCTATTCTAACATTTGTGCTGAGGTCAGGCAGCACCCTGCGAGGCGAGCGCTGCTAATATACAGTTGTGTGAAAAAGTGTTTGCCCCCTTCCTGATTTCTTATTTTTTTGCATGTTTGTCACACTTAAATGTTTCAGATCATCAAACAAATTTAAATATTAGACAAAGATAACACAAGTAAACACAAAATGTAGTTTTTAAATGAAGGTTTTTATTATTAAGGGGAAAAAAAAATCCAAACCTACATGGCCCTGTGTGAAAAAGTGATTGCCCCCTAAACCTAATAACTGGTTGGGCCACCCTTAGCAGCAACAACTGCAATCAAGCGTTTGCGATAACTGGCAATGAGTCTTTTACAGCGCAACCGTGGCTCACTGGCTTAAGAGGGTTGTCTGGTAACTGCAGGGTCAACAGTTCGATCCTCGACTGGGACGTGCCACGTGTCGAAGTGTCCCTGAGCAAGACACTGAACCCCCGGCTCCCCAGGCGCCTGTCATTGGCAGCCCACTGCTCCCTATATACAGGGATGGGTCAAATGCAGAGGTCAAATTTTGTGTATGTGACATATCTGTATATGTATATGACAATAAAAAGGGTTTCTATTCTAGAGGAATTTTGGCCCACTCATCTTTGCAGAATTGTTGTAATTCAGCCACATTGGAGGGTTTTCGAGCATGAACCGCCTTTTTAAGGTCATGCCACAGCATCTCAATCGGATTCAGGTCGGGACTTTGACTAGGCCACCCAAAGTCTTCATTTTGTTTTTATTAAGCCATTCAGAGGTGGACTTGCTGGTGTGTTTTGGATCATTGTCCTGCTGCACAACCCAAGTGCGCTTCAGCTTGAGGTCACGAACAGATGGCCGGACATTGTCCTTCAGGATTTGTTGGTAGACAGCAGAATTCATGGTTCCATTTACCACAGCAAGTCTTCCAGGTCCTGAAGCAGCAAAACAGCCCCAGACCATCACACTACCACCACCATATTTTACTGTTGGTATGATGTTCCTTTTCTGAAATGCCGTGTTACTTTTACGCCAGATGTAATGGGACATACACCTTCCATAAAGTTCAACTTTTGTCTCGTCAGTCCACAGAGTATTTTCCCAAAAGTCTTGGGGATCATCAAGATGTTTTCTGGCAAAACTGAGACGAGCCTTTATGTTCTTTTTGCTCAGCAGTGGTTTTCATCTTGGAACTCTGCCATGCAGGCCATTTTTGTCCAGTCTCTTTCTTATGGTGGAGTCATGAACACTGACCTTAATTGAGGCAAGTGAGGCCTGCAGTTCTTTGGATGTTGTTCTGGGGTCTTTTGTGACCTCTTGGATGAGTCGTCGCTGCGCTCTTGGGGTAATTTTGGTCGGCCGGCCACTCCTGGGAAGGTTCACCACTGTTCCATGTTTTCGCCATTTGTGGATAATGGCTCTCACTGTGGTTCGCTGGAGTCCCAAAGCTTTAGAAATGGCTTTGTAACCTTTTCCAGACTGATAGATCTCAATTACTTTGTTTCTCATTTGTTCCTGAATTTCTTTGGATCGCAGCATGATGTCTAGCTTTTGAGGATCTTTTGGTCTACCTCATTTTGTCAGGCAGGTCCTATTTAAGTGATTTCTTGATTGAGAACAGGTGTGGCAGTAATCAGGCCTGGGTGTGGCTAGAGAAATTGAACTCAGCTTTCCAACGATGTGATAAACCAAGTTAATTTATGTTTCTTTAATTTATATCACTTTTTCACACAGGGCCATGTAGGTTTGGTTTTTAAACCTTCATTTAAAAACTGCATTTTGTGTTTACTTGTGTTATCTTTGTCTAATATTTAAATGTGTTTGATGATCGGAAACATTTAAGTGTGACAAACCTGCAAAAAAATAAGAAATCAGGAAGGGGGCAAACACTTTTTAACACAACTGTAGCTGTCTTGACTTGTGATAAGGCAGCCACGTGTGTGTTTAGTGGAAGAAAGCAGTGTCGCACTGAGGAGGCAAAATGACATCAGGCTACAGTGAAACACAGACGCAGCCATCTGAAAAACAAACCGACATAAAACTCCTCTCTGAATACGGCCTCTATTTGCTCTCATGTTGACTTGTTTACAAAGGGGAGTTGCTTACACTGTGGTGGTTGGCAGACAAGGTGTGGTGGTATAGGAGAATACATCGAGGCAAGTCTTATTATTATTATTACTGACTAGTTTGTAACCTTAAACTGAACTAAACTCAGCCTCAAATCCAAAGTGAAACTGTATCAAATAGGGATGGCAAAATCAAGATTTGACCTCTATAAACAGATTCTGCATTCACACGTGTTACGAAAGACTTTGGTCAGCCCTGATATTAATCTTGAAGACTGTCTCAGAGCATCTCGAGCAGTAAAAAACAGTTTGCTCATGCAGTGCTGTTCATAAAACATCTGATCGGGGCCACCGCTTCGTGTGCTGTTGCATATTCTCCAAGTAATGATTTTTTTCTGAGGTCTCGGGTTCAACCAATCAGAAGATCTGGTGAGGTTGAGGACCTAAAAATTGATATTCTGTCTTTGTGTTAGACCTTGTAACACTCCCGACATCATAAGACCGGATGATTTTTGGAGCGGCCACATGTACGGAGACTTACACTTGAGTGATGTCCATGGTGAAGGTTCCTGACCAGGGCTGCAGCAGGAGGAAAGCCTTGAGAGTCAGGGCAGCTCGGGGAAGCAGCAGGTAAGGACACCACACTGGATCTGAACATATTGCCCACCGATCAGAAAGAACACAATGTTAAGCCGCGGCTGTTCAAGAGCATAAAACATAGAGTTCCCGAAGAATTTCCGAAGCCTTCATCCAATCCATGAATCTCCTAAAACCTCTATGTCTCATTTAATCCTTCACACTTTTTGTTCCCTGGCTCACCGGTCAGGTCTTGTTCGTCCATGCGGTAGCTGGCGGACTTCATGGCCATCTCCAGCACTCGGATACAGCCGTCGTCGGAGGCCAGCACCACCTTGTCCGACGTGCACCAGTCAATGTCTAAGATGCGGTAGTTCACGTTGCGCCCAATCCGCATGCTGCTCACCATTTGGACCTGCAAGAGGAGGAGGGCCAAAGCAGTTCATCTAAACTGTCCCCTAAAAGCTTCTTTCAAAGCATCTGCCACAACTCTAGATGGGAGATGGTGGGATAGGAACCATTTATGTTGAGTATAGCAGGACGGAGAATGGAAGACTCTTTCAGAAGGTGTTCTAGAAAACCTCCCTATCTCTGGCTTTTTATGGGGCTGTCTGGGAGTCGGTGTAACCCAGCTGTCAGCAGAGCGCTGAAGCATGTCGAAGATCTCTTCCTGCTCCTCCTCTCCTCCCTCATTCTCTCCCTCTCTTTCCAGCCCTGTAAGCCGTTGCTCGTTTCCCTCTGCAGCTTGATCCATCTGTTGTCTGGATTTTGCGGTTGGGGAATGAAAACTGCATCTTATCTCAGCTCCCCTGAAGAAAACACATCCCTCCTCCCAGACAACAATGCTCCAGTGGGACCTTCTTCCTCCGCCCGATGCTGCTTAAAAACACCATAGCATCTATCTGTGTCCACATCCATCTACTTTTCAATATTTCTGCTGGGTAAACTAACAAATACTGTGGCATTGACATTGATAAACAAAACAAAAAATGTCCAGTATGTGACCAAATTTTGAACTGGAGCACAAACTAGCCAGAAGGATTCTTAGTCGAGCTGAAATGAAGGCCGTGCAGAGAGAGAGGACTTTCTGGATGCTGACAGCTTCGGTAAGCGAAGTTAAAGAGGAAGTGAGGATGCATGTCGCTTCCAGGAATCAGGATCATCCATCCTGCAATGGTTCAGCTTATTGATGTCAATGGAAAGCTTTTAGGGCTTGTGTATGTACACAGTGCACTGTGGTGATTCTTTAATACATCAGGACAATTACAGTAAATATACTCTTACCACAGTGTTACTTTGAGAGATACACAATATTGCAGTGCTTACAGTGCTCTGCAAACACATTCATGCTGGCAGAGTGAATCTGTTCAATGGAAAGCACTACTATGAAGTTGCAGAACGTTGCAGATTCTTTCATTTTATCTGAGCTGTGTGGTCAGGTGATGCATGTTGGGAATTTATGATGTAGTACAGAAAAACAATGACTTTTGTCCCAATGACATGTCAAACTGCCAAAGGTTGGTGTGTGGCGCCTCACCTCTTTGGTGTCCCAGACCTCCGCTCCATCGGTGTACATCACCAGCAGCTTTTGGTTGCCCTTACCCGGAGCGAAGCGGATCTTCTTCACCCAGCCACGATGTGTTGGTATTCCCCTGAAAGCATCAACAGCATCGGCCAGTGATTTTATTAATTTGTTATCCATTGGTTGGTATCCAAAGTAAGAAACGTCAACATAACAATCAATCTATGACCATTCTGGGCAAGTTCATTTTTGTCTAAAAAATATATTGGAGAATTTGGAGGTATGGTAGCTATGTAGGATACTGTCAGTGCAGTGTCGTAAGAAGAGCAGTTACCTGGACAAACGAGCTTTCAGGTCCCAGAAGTTGAGATTGCCGTCCACGTCCCCGAGCACCAGGGTGTCGCCTTTCCACGCGATGCAGGCGATACTACCCATACTGCCCTGCAACGAGGATTTCACATATTCAGTGAGAGGAAAAATAAGGAAGGACAGCTGCACATTTGTCCCCTGCTCAAGGATTCAAAATTCATTTTGTATGTGAAAACTGCTTCTTGAAGCTGCAGTTAAAAAAACAAACAAAAAAAACAAAACACTTTTCATCATATTTTACTCAAACTGTCACTCTATCCTGACAGCAGTGCAATGTGACAGATATGTCTAAAAGCAGGTTCCTCTGCCTCCTTTTAGTGCTAAATGGTATGGTATTTACAGGATTCAAAGGGCTCAAAGGAGAACAACCAATCGGAGCCGAGGAGCGTCTAACGCAGTCATCACTGCTTGTGAACTCCGATCAAACTTTTAAACTAGGCAGCGTTGATCAAATATGAATCAAGATTCTGCAGAGGAACCTGTTTTTTAAATCTTTTATAGATTATCTGTCTCATGTATACTACTGTGACGACAAATATGATATTTTTATTTCGGTTACCAACTGCAGCTTTAAGTACATCTAAACCCCTTTTTCATCCATTTTGACAGTTGATTTTAACATCTTGCCTGTGTAGATTATTTTCTATTATTTACAGACACAAATACACAGCTATCTACTAAAGCTGGTATTGTAGTTGTACACCTCAAGTACTGAGATAGTCCGCGTCCATCACTAAAATCATCAGAAGTCAATGACCATCCTCCACATAATTACAGGCATAAAAACAACAATGTTATGATGTCAACAAGCTGAACAATGGGTAAAAAAAACCACCTTTTCGCTCCATTATAAAAGCGTAATAGTCTCTGGCTGAGTGGTAGACTAGCACGATACCTGAGGTTAAGTGAGGCTGCGCCACAAGACGAAGTGCTGATGTGAAGACATTAAGTGTCAGCTCACCTTCAGTGTGTACCCGGTGAATGATGGGACAAAACTTTTCTTGGACAGTTTCCTTTACCGTCCTGACAAGAGAGAGAGATATGAAGATCTATCATCCTGAAAGGACTGTAAATCCTTTGAGGTATGCAAATCTTTGAACAATGAATCTGTAGCTGTCACGAAGATAAGGCTTTTGAAATCACCAGGTAAACCGTTGGTGTCTGTCTGTGCGGTGTGAATCGATGCCGGGAGTGAGCCGGCAAAACACGGGCTGTTGAACAATCCAATCTGCCGCTCAGAAAGGGACTCCCGAAATGAATTTTACCATCTCGAATGAAAAGAAATGGAGAAGTGTTCGCGATAAGGTATGAAGTTGTGCAGTGTTCATTGACAGATGTGGGCAATCAACAACACACAACAGAAGGTGCTATCTGCTCTGTAGCACGACGCAGCTCGACTGAGATGCAAGTCGCAGCTAGATAATGAGTTCAAGAAAGTTCCTGAAGTTTTCTTAAGGACTTCTTAAACAATAGCCTCAATTTTGTTACTCTTGGGCAACTAAACACCTTTTTTTTTTTTTTTTTTTTTTAATTCAAAAATCAAAAGGCTCTTTGTTAGTGGCGACGTGTGGACTTGTAAAGTAAAAACATCCTGCATCTTGTAGTCATTCAGGTGAAAAGAAATCCTGTCTGCAGTAATAGCCGGGCCATTTTTGCTGTCACGGCCAATTAACAGCTAAGTCCCCATGAGATGCTTTACAGGTGAATGCAGTAAACAGTTTCAGGGTCACGCTCTGAACCAGAGGAGAGAACAAGTGCAAAACATTTGCTAACAGACTGATAGAAGACGCCAACTCACGCACAGTCAGTCGGCTGTTTGCTAGAGTAACAAAATAAAGAAGGTTTAATCTGACAGAAAACATAAAGCTGTAGAAGCTGCAAGGTTGAACACTTTTTGTTGTGGAGCCAACATGTATATCATCCCCCACACAAGCCCCACTAAAGACCTGAAGGACCCAGGATAGAGAGCGGCAGTGATGGCTTTTACTTTATAGAGGAAGCTGTGCAGGTGCTGAATAACTGATGGCTTCTGAGCTCTACAATGAGGTAAAATGTTGGCACAATGCAGGTGTTTGATCACAGAAACAGGGAAGTAAATGATGTGAAAAACGTTGCCATCATATTTTCATTCTCTTTGACACAGAGAAAGAATAGCACCTTCTGCCAAAAAAAAACAAAGAGATTCAACCTTTAAACACATGAGAGAGGATGCCAAAGCAAGAACAAAAGATGATGGAAAAGAGTGCGGAAACAGTGCACAATGATTGCTGGTGGGTAAAAGTGAAACACGGTATATACTGTGGGTTAGAAACCTGAGGGAAAGTATTGATAATTGACAGATCAGACACATATAATTACAGAGAGAGGACAGGAGAAAGTCAGAGGTAGAAGTAGCGATAGGAGACATACTGATGTCCGCAGACAGAATACAGGGAAAAGAGAAGATTCTGTGTTCAGAAGGGATTGAAATACAAATTGAAATTCAACGGCGAGTAAGAGATGTGAAAGGAGTAGGAACAGCTTTGTGCAGGGATCTGTGTGGAGGACCTTGAAGTAGTTCAGGAGCGTGTGAAGTAAAAAGAGACACCGTCTCTGGACTCACATCAGGGGGAATGCGTGCGCCATCTTTGACAGTGTTGCCCTCCACGGTGATGTGGTAGACCTGCCCGTCGGTGTCAGTGAATACAAAATGCTCCCTGGCTGAGATGGCTTGGCTGGTCTCTGACTTGCTCTCTGCATCCTGCAGCAGACTGTATAGTGGAGAAACATGTCAGGCTTTGTGCGCTCTTTCCACTGTGAAATATTCGTGGCAGGACCAACGTCGTGGTATTCTGCAGCTGACAGTGGCAAGAATTACTCGTAGCATTTAGGTCAGAGCACTGGGTGGATTATAGAGACAGAAGTAATACAAAAATAAAAATAAAAAATACAAACACATATTAAGTTGGCTTCACTTGACTTTGTGGAAACTACTGTTGGCTAAAAGTCATGGATAAAAGGTTGAAATAGAATGCCAACAGTAGCCTTTTTCATGAATTATAAAGAAAATACGCAGCTAAAGGCAACAAATAAATGGTGAAATAGCAAAAAGTAATTGTTAAACAGTAGTCAGCTATAAGTAATGGATAAATAGAAGCTATAGCAAAACATAACGTTGAGATAGCTAAAAGTGACGGATGTATGGACAAGCTTGACCTAACTAACCTAAACATTGACAGTTCAACTGTATGAGAACATTATTGCAACAATACATGTTAATATAATCAATAGCGCTAAATAACGTCCAGTTAAAAATCAAATAAACACGTTTGTAACATGACTGGTGGGGGTAGTTCATCTGACAGGTGTGGCTGGAGAATAATACTGGACCGTTGTCTTTTGCGATCAGATAATCATTTAAACATAATAACGGGTAAAGAACTGTTCATTCCAATGATAGTTTTTATAGTATTTTTAGATCTGATTTCAATTCCTCATATATTAGCTTCACCTCTGCCTCAGGGCTTTCCATCCTGACAGGGGGGCTTGTCATTGTCACTACACTGTGAAGCTTTAGAACGCTGACCTGATGACTGACGATTCAACACTACTCTGCTCTGGGTCCGACACCGTCTGCCGAGCTATGGCCTCCCTCGCTGCCATCTGCTTCTTCTTCAGACTCTTCAGGTTGTGGGACGGGGACCACTCCTGTTTACACATGCACACAAACACACACGGGGTTGCAGTTACAGCAACAAACCCAGACAAAGACCTAGACGCAAACACATAACAGCAAACCATCACAGTGCAAAAAGACAACAGCTAGAGACAGGAGGAAAAGGGAAGTGCCGTAGAGGCTCACATAAATTAAACTAAGGCACACGGGAGAGCTGTTTTCCCCCATGCCTTCCTGTGCAACTGCTGGAGCACTGTGGCTGCAGTCTGGCGGACTCAAGGTTGTAATCAATATGGAAATGAGATTGCAATATGGGGCTGGGGGAGGGCAGCATGCATTATTAAGGTTACTGGCGGTTTTTATTCTTGCTGTGGACGACTTTACAGCCCCACTGTGAAGTTTGTCCAGCATAGCTCTTCTTTTATGAGCATTTCTCTGGCCTAATGAAGCCCGTTCTTTGCTGAGCTTGGGGAAAATTTCCAGACCAATCTTTTAAATGGCCAGCCCCCCCAGCATCAGAGACTATTAACAAAGGGAAGAGTCAACAATGGGTAATATCACAGCAGTGAGTTTTGTTAAAAGTCAGTATTTTGACTGGAGATGTTCAGATATGCAGCTGTCATTTTTAATGAGCAACACTGCACGTGACATTTGTTATATTTCAGTGTCTTTAGTAATGGTTGTACGTTTTTTTTCCTTGTGTTTCACGAGCAGCTCAGAATCAAGGACCGGTGGAGGATTCAGTTTTTTTTATTGGTGTGTAGATTTGTCAGTACCAATGCAGTAACGGTGGGGAAGTTCTTCGCCATCTCCCGGAGAAGTGTCCCGGTCCTGGTGTCCCACAGCTCCAGGGGTTTGTCTCTGAACACCACCACCAGGTACTGTCTGAGGATGGACAACACACACACACACATTCAATCTCAAAACACACACACTGCCCACGACTGCACTATAAGGTTTCTTGTAGTTTTTTATTTAACGGATGCAGTCTCAAAATCTGGTTGCCGTGTGGCGTGGATGTCTAAACATTGGATGCTGATGTGTCACATTACCAGCAAAAAGAGTGAGAGAATGGATTCTAGCTCATCTGGTCACGTTTTAGAAAGACTTTTTTTTATGTTCATATGGTACAATTTAAAGGATGAGTTTTCAAACGCAACCCCCTGCTTTGTGTTTAACCAGACTGCAGTGTGCCTCTTAGGTACACAGATATTTACAGCAATATTTGTTGCATATATATATGAATTAAATGTTCAAATAAAGAAGTTGTAGCAAATGTCCTGAGTGTATTGAATTGAGCAAAAGTTAGTTTTATCACTTGTGAATACAGAACAGTCAGACGTGTCCCTTTGCAGTTTAATACATGATACACCGAACCAGATTTGGAATGTACCCACAAGGCTAGGACTCTCAACGGTGACATGGTGCGTTGAAAAGAAATTAGAATTTACTGAGAAAATACAAAAGAAAATGTGTGAGGACTGTTAATGCATGCTCTTTTATTTTTTTTTCGCAATATCACAGTCCTATTAAAAGATACTGCAATGATGAATGCGGGAATTAAAGAAAGAATTAAAGAAAGAATTGAGCATTTGTGAAGGTTTTGGGGAGCAATAGGAAATAAACAACGCAATTAATGCTCGATCTGTGCTATTCGGGTCTTTCTGCAGACCTCCGGGTGAGATTTGAATCTGGTTATTATAACACCTCGGAAGAAGCGACCAAGCGCAATGCGCCCTTTAAAATTTGAATTGACATGTTCAGAGACAGAAGGAGATAGAGAGAGAAAGGTGAGAAGCGTGTGAATTGTTTTGTATGTAAATGTACAGTTTGTGTCCAAGTGTGTGTGTGTCTCAGGCAAAAGCACTAGAAACTGAGGTGTTGTTGCCATTTGGTTTTTGCCGGTGGTGGAGAGAGCAGACAACTCACTTGAGATGAGACACTTTAATCATCTCAATGGGTGGCTCATCGTTTCCTCGCTCGCCTCTAAATGCAAAGCATCTTCCTGGAAAACACAACAGAGACACAGACAGACACGTGTGAGGGAGAGGAGGTGATGCTGGAAGGCAGAAGACGGTACCTTTCCTTACAACCTGTGAAGAGACGGATTGAACTCATTCCACTTTAGTGCCAGGGCGTCCTGGTCTCATCTCCTTCGCCGGAGCGGGAAAAGAGGAAAATGACGCCAACTCATTCTCCCCACCTGCTCTAATCTCTGCTTTTCACTTGCACGCAGTACATACCACCCACTGTAGCAGCACATTATGCAGCGCATCAAGGTGCCCCCCTTTAAACAAAACAAGGACACCCTTCAGGTGTATCTTATCACAGTTGCTTAAGGAAGTGCTGATCTGATTTTGCCGAGGACACTTAGGAAGGCGGCCTGCTTAAAATGTACAAGTGACACAGCTGCCTGCGGCTGTTTGGGCGAGGCGGGGGTGACCTCCAACAGTTTTGTTGAGACGGCAGTTGGTGTGTGCCAGAAGGGGACGGCATAGCTAAGCACATGGTGTAGAGAAAACTTTGGTGCACTAGAAGCTAATGAAGCCGTCTTCATTATTTCCTCTTTGGGGCAATTATCTCACTCTTCAGATCATCAGCCTACTGGCTCTAATCACGTGTGTCATACGTGCATTCTCAAAAACACACACACACACACACATCTCGAGGTCCTCAATACGCAAAATAGGGTCAGGTTTTTTTTTAATCTGCTGTATGCAAAAGGAGGCGGGTGTGCTTTCTGGCAAACACAGTCATGCTCTTCCCTTTCTGTGGCTGATTAGTGGAAAGACGTGTTAAAGTGCTGAGCTGATTACGCATGTATAAATTATATTATTATTATTATTATAACATGTAATTATCATCTGTACACATAAACGTTTGTGAGCTAATGCAAAGCACGTATCAACACCAACGTCCCCCGGTTACTGCAGCACGATGAGAATCCGTTCACGGATAAAGAACACAATCGTCACTGCAGAGACCGGCTATCATCACAATCGAGTAAGACGAGCGAGGAAGATGATTTTTCATCCTGGAGTCCCAAATCTTATCAGAAAATGCTCCAGCTGTAAAGGGGCACAAGGTGTCTGCCTTAGCGGATTAGTCTTACTTGTGACGAATAGAATCCTTAAGTACACAACTATCTCTACTTTGGAGCCGTTTCTATTTGATGACCTCATGCAAATATATGCTCACAATGAATTAAGACGAACGAACATCAGCTCAAGTAAGGGGAAACGAAGTTGTGCAAGTCTGAATCTGGTTCAGGATTACATTAAATTATATCAAAAATACTATGAGAACATCTGCAACTCAAATAGGTAGGCTGAAAAACTATACCCCACGGCTACTTTCCTCTGTTAAAAATCACAATGTCTATTTATTTTATTTCTAAATAAATAAATACGTTGCAACCTGTAAATAAGACATCTTGACAGTTCTCGTGTTTCTCAGTTTAGATGGAGCTTAGCGAGCTCCTCCCCCTCCCTTCCCCTGTGATCTCGGTGCTATGCTGAACACGTCACAGACCTATTGTGTCTCCGTGAACACACACAGATTAAAGTGATACTGATCTTTTTCACATCCAACCCTGAGTAAGACACAGAAACATGCGTGGATCAGGGATGTGGGACGTGGGACATCACACCGAGATCCCCACAGGCTGTGTGCACTAGCAAGCAGATACATTAGCAGTCAAGCACACCGTGGAAAATCTCAGGCACTTTAAGTTACTCAAACGAAAAAACAATTAAGTATGCATGTGTGTGTTGGAAGGCGTGTCAGCCTGTAACCAAAGCTAATGCCGCTAATGACTGTTAACTTTGACGACTCTGGTGCTTTTAGAGAGCCATTAAAGAAGGGACTTACCCCCGCCATTGTTCTGAAAGAGCTGAGGATAAAGGCTCTCTGACCCAACCATCATAGTGCGCATATTTCTTTGTGACCATGGAAACTTCCCAAGCCAAACGCCTTAAGTGTAAAAAGTGTGAAGCAGACCAACGAGACAAAAACACGAGAGATTTGTCAAATAATGAAAGTGCTCATCAACTATTTGTATCCGAGATTGCATATTAATATTCATTCTCATACATCTAAACTAAAAGATGTTTTATCCACTGGAACCCTTAACCATCTCTTCCTGACCACTCATTACTTCATCCTCAGGTTCTCTCTTTCCACCTTCAGGAGAAAGTTGAAAAACACAACGGTCACCGCTGGTGCAGTAATTCTATAGACCCGTCACCGGCAGGGATAGAAGTCATGATAGGATCTCATTTTCAGAGCCAGGCCCTCCTTGGTAGTTTAGTTTGGACCTATTTTGGAGAAGTGTGTAAGTATCCCCTGGAGGAGAACAATAGGAGTCTCTTAGAGAACCACATGGACACAGAAAAACAAATGAAAAGAAAGAGTGAGAGACTGACTGATGTCTATTTTCTCTGTTGTTCAGGCAGCAGGAACCTCAAGAAAAACAGAAACTTCCAAGAACAAAGACAGGTGATAATATGCGTGTGTGTGTGTGTCTAGCCTCTCACCAGTAGGCAGGTCAACATGCTGCAGTTCATTTCGCACCAGGCCCATGTTGTTGGGAGCAGAAGTGGCAAACGATAAGAAACTGGTAAGACTCACCCATTCAATTCCCCTGTGGAATAAGCACACACACACACACACACACACACACACACACACACACACACACAC